GGGGCAGACTCTCTCAGCAGCTAGGCGGGTAATTTTTCACCGGGGATAGATGATATTTGAATGTTTTTGCTGAATTTGAGGATTTCATAGCGGTTGCCATGTTGCAGTGCCCACCCCCGAGGCTCCCCTACAGCAATTGCAGTGCTATGATGAAGATTTGGCAGACAATTTACAATCATGCTTGTAGTACATGGTTTGCATAAAAATTAACACTCAACAATTTAAAATGGACGGTAGTAAAAATGCTTGCCAAAAAAATCAAAATGAAGTGTTTAACTAGAAATACTAGTTGATTATATACGTAGAAAAATTCAAACTAAGGAACAAAGATGATTGGTAAATTCGAAAATCACCATGAAAACCTGAAAAAGAAGAGTAATCCAATTCTCAAATAGATGTGAATCAGAATAATATTTTGGAATATCATAGTGATCCAATTCTGAAACAGATGGGAACCACTCCTCAAATTTGGATAAGTATTGTAACCTAATTCTCAATTGTAAGACCTTTGAGGTTCAAAACCCTAGCCGAGGATTGGACTTCAAAAAGATGAGGGAGTTACCTTGCCTTAACATTTTCTCCACTAATCCAGCCATCCAGGGAAAAGTCGGCGTACCGCCATGCGATGGTGAGCCACGGATTGTCCCATAGGATGAGGACGAGGCCATGGGGATTCGCTGGAGAGGAGGCGAGAAACCAGAAGTCAGTATGCGCAGATACACATAAAGCGGATCGGATCAGATTTTCTTTGGGTCGATCGATCAGATGGGCTGCATATGGGCCACTAGATGGGTTGCGCGAGCGCTCAGTCCCTGGTGGCTTCTCGCCGGTGTCCAACAACAAATTTTACTGGTGTCACACGCCTACATGGGCTACAAATATAACGTAATCGGAACAATTACCCGGTGTCCTGTGACACCGGTTGCTTGTACGTAGGTCCGCCCAACGAGGCAAAACAACAAACAACAACCTATTCACAACGCTCGAGCAGTAGCTAGAGTAGTCGAGCCAGACATAAAGACATAATTTCAAAACTAAAGTGCTAAAGAGAGGGTGGGGCAGGCGCCATAAGTTCAAACTAAAGTGTTTGTTTTCTTTGTTGCATTTGTACTATTTTGTTTACTTTGCTACTACCTTTGTTTTGGTTTATTGGCCCCCTTAGTATTCTATGCCAAATTTTGATCATGGATTTAATTAACAAAATAGTAATGCATGTCACAAAAGGTAGTATCTTTGGAAACTATGTTCAAATGTGAATCTAACGATATCATTTTTGATGACATGCATTATGATCTTGTCTGTTAAATCTATGATCAAATTTTGACACAGAGTACGAAGAGGACCAATAAATCAGGATGAAGGTAGTACTCCCTCCGTCCGGAATTACTTATCAAAGAAATAGTTGTATCTAGATATATTTTAGTTCTAGATATATCCATTTCTGCGAACGGATGGAGTACATTTGTATCACTTTTGTTTTCTGTTAACCCTGACTAAACAACTTTGAGTTCCTAGCACCATTACTGTTACTCCCTCCGTTCTGAGTTACTCGTCCAAGAAATAAATGTATCTATATATATATTTTAGTTGTGGATACATCCATTTTTTATGACAAGTAATTCCGAACGGACCGAACTAAGTGATACTACAATTTGTCCTTTTCTATTGGAAACAATAGAAGTACACCCATTCAAACGTAAGTGAGTGGAGATGCAGATTCCATGACTGGTCAACTGGAGTCTTATGGAGTAGCTTAGCTGGTTATTAACATCGGACACCGTGATTAAGAGTTCACATGATGCAGATCTTGTCCCATCGATTAAATAAAAAAGAAGCCAGATCCGACTTCACTTCCTGGAGTACTAGCTTTGAGCAGAGCTTTAATTGCAAAAGCTGAAACGCCTCGGCACGCGGGCACACCACATGGGATCCACCCGCAGAGAATCTCACACCGTGGTCAGACAGATTTGGCTCGTTCTACGCATGGGGAACGTGTTGACCCCGCTCGCACGCGAGTGTTCTGGCTGTTTGTCACTGGCAGGCTGGTCCCGCTCCCTGCTGGACCCACGTGTCACTGGAACGGGTTGGTCACGTCCTCGCTCCGCGCGCGTGGCGGAGGGAGCACGTGGGCCTGGCGGCGTCCAACGCGCGCGCATCGGGGGCGGGCCTAATGGGCCGACCGGCTAATTAACTATGAACCACACAGGCAGAATCCACGGCCCACTTGCCCAATAAACAACCCCTATCTGGCTCGATCCTCGCGTGCGGCACGTGTTGACTGGGTCCCGCCCGCCCGCCATGCACGCAGCTCGATGCGTGCGGAGGACGGAGGACGGACGCGTTCACTTGGACTGGGGCCTTGCGCATATCTCGGATTTGACTAACCGACCGATAACCATGGCCGCCCCTTGTTGATCGAGAGCGGCGGAGGGTGGCTTCTTCTTCTTCTTCTTCCATGTCAATGGAGATTCGGAGCAGCCGCCACCACCAGGAGGAGGCGACCGGCAATCTAATGAGGCCGGGATCAGGTTCAGGTCGGTGCTTCCCCCCCTTCACCCTTCAGATTGTGTAGCATTATACTGTCAATTAGTTTGTTTCTTCCACATTCAGACTACCCGCCGGTAATGCAGCGAGGAGGGGCACCTGCGGCTGCGGCGCACCGGCGGCAGTTCCAGCCCATTCCAGCGCCCTTCATGTCATTCAGGCCGCCGCTTGCTGACACGCCGGCGCCCCATCACCAGGTTCGCGCGCGTTTCTCTGTCTCATTCCGCTCTGCTCCAATGTGATTCAGATGCTGCTCTTGCTCTGCTCCTCCCGCGAGATAGCAAGATCCTAGTCGGTCTGTCTGACCTGACCTGCTTCGGTACTCTTGTCATGTAGGGGCAACTCCGGTTCCACGGCCACGGCGGACCCAGGCCGTTTCACCGGCCGCCGCCGCCGCCGGGGAGCTTCCCAGGTGCCGCGGATGGCACCGCGTCCACAGCTCAGCAACGTTTCACCGCCGACAGTGCTAGTGCCGTGTATAGGTCTGCGGTTGGCGTCTACGCCCCAAGGTTTGAGCTGATTTCCTCAACTAATTCTAGTGACTGACGACGGTAGTTTCAGACTTGCATGTCGTGCTAACTGACTGACAAATGAATTATATGCTTTGCCTGCAAACTACAAAGCCGGCGCATATGGAATCCCAAGTCAACACTGATGACTATGTTCTACAACGGCGCCGTCAACGTGTTCGACGTCCCGGTGGACAAGGTATCCATGCATTGCTCGTGTGCTGATTGCTGAATGACCCAAGCATTTTTAACTTCTCATGTCTTGCTTAGATATGGGTTATTGATTATCTCTTCTTAACGATGGTGCAGGCCCAAGAGATTATGGTTTTAGCAAGCAGGGCATCTGTTTCAACCCCACCCAGACCCACTGAAATCCAGAAATCAGGCTCCCATGTCCCAGCCAATACCAGATTTACAGTGCCCGACCCGAGGAAGACCTTTGCAACTCATGTATCGGCCATTTCAAGTCGAATCCCCGCTGTGCCACAAGCTCCGGCGCTCCCAAGGAACACGCCGCCAGGCTACCAAAATTACACTCCTGATCCGAGAACATCCTCAGGCGTACAATCATCAGTTGCTCCTCCGGTATCCCGGGCATCCTCAGCGCAACAGATGCAACAAGCATCTCCAGTTGCCGTCGCAGAACCTATTAGGCCAATAGGTACGTACAAAGTTACTACTTTGTTACCACTTGTTGCTTGCTACACCCTCCGTCCAAAAATACTTGTCACCAAAATGGATAAAAGGAGATGTATCTAGAACTAAAATACATCTAGATGCATCCCCTTTTATCTATTTTGATGACAAGTATTTCCGGACGGAGGGAGTAGTTAGTTCTGCACTTCAATTCAGATTGTGGGAAAGTGTTATAGTACTGATTCATGCTGTTGCTTCAGCTGTCCCTGTCCGTCAATCTCGGAAAGCATCTCTCGCCCGATTCTTGGAGAAGCGAAAAGAAAGGTATAAATCACATGCTAGTTTGGTGATTACACTTTGCAAAAGCAGTATCTCCTTGGTTCAAATTTCATCAGTGCGCCATTTCTTCCGCAGAGTTTCAAGTGCCACGCCATACCAGTTGTCAAAGAGCCCGCTAGAGAGCAGTGGCAGCTTGGGCAGTGCGAGCAATTCAAGCAGGTTATCTAGCGCAGACAATGCTCCACCCAACAACAACTGCCAGGAGTCTATGAGCTATGTTAGCAATGACGCTATGTCGGCAATTCCCCATAGGGTAGTTATAGAGTTGGAATGAGAGACAAAAAAAAAAGGTTTGTCTACTCTTAGTCTTAGCTAAGAGATGATCTTCTTAGAAGGATAAAACAATTTTTCCTATTGTATGAGATTTGTTCTTTTAATTGCATATTCCTTAGTTTAATTTTAAATGCCTTTTATTTTTAGGTGCATGCTAGCATTAACATTTAGAGACAACAATAGGCAATAAGAGACTCCAAAATTCCTCCCCTCCCTCGCGTCGCCCCTCGCGTCGCCCCCGCTCGGGCGACTCGGGCGGGATCTGAAACCCTAGCCGCCGGGGGTCCCCATCCTTCCTCCCCTCCCTCCGCTGCCGCTGAAGGACGCCGCCGGCTATAGCCCGGGGCTGACGGCGGTGGCGGGGGTCTCCCCTCTTGCCTGCGCCGTGGGGGCGGTGCGGAGCCCCGCGGCGTGGGTGGCACGGCCGATCTGGCCTAGCGGCGCGATGGTCCTGCCTTCCGGCGGCGGCGCGACGGCTGCCTCGGCCAAGGCAGTGGCGGGTGCGGCAGTTGGCCCTGCCTCGGGCAGCGTGGCGGCGTTCGACATCGGCGGCCGGGTCTGCGGCGACAAACCATCTGACCTCGGATCGGTGGTGGCGGCATGGTGGGCCTGGTGGTTCGTTTAGTGGTGATGCCTCCGCGGTGGTTGCGGCTTGGGGACCTGGACCCCGATCCGATCTGGATCTGGTGGTGCCGGGGTCTGGGCTTGTCGGCCTCTAGGCATCATGGGGGTGCCGGCAGCGACGCATGCCCGGCGTGGTGACACTGGTGGACGTGGTGGTCATCTTCTTCGCGAGATGGCCGGCCAGAGGCTTGGTGATCGGATCTCGAGATCCATCATCTTGTCCCGGCTGCGAGTAGGGGAGACATGGTTGCCGGTGAAAACCGAGCCGACGACAGGCGATGGCGGCGTTCTCGCCATTACCTTGATGAAGGCATCGTCGTGTAACTATTGTCGACCCACTCGTGCTGCTCCAGGGGAAACCCTAGGATCTGGTGTTCTAGATTGGACCATGATGGCATTGTGGTGTCGTTTCTCTCTTGGGAGCATCGTTTGCGGAGCAGCGCTGGATGTCATAGGCAGGAGGTGGAGCGGCTTCGTCTTGCACGGAGCTTCGATGGTGATGTCAAGTCATGCCTAATCGACAGGTGCTACACTTTGTCATGCATGGTCGGCAGGTGCTACGCACGACAGATCCTCCAAGGACTTCAAGCTGTGTCGGCTGGTGATACCTGGCAGCATGGCGCTGGGGTGTATCAGTGGCGACCGCGACATGCTCAACTATTTGCGCGCAGGGAGGAGGTGCCGTTTGGCGCCGTGATGGCGTCGACGATAGCTAGACCGAGCAAGGTTGATGCATCAGTACAGTTCTGAAGATGGAGCGGTGGCAGTTGGCGGCGGCGGCATCTGAGTGCACGCCGGACCGGTGAGACCCATGCCCGGCAGGCGTCCTGGATGGGTTCTCAGGTCTTAGATGTTAGGTTTGCCTGCGATGTCTGTTTGGTATTAGGCCAAGGCTATCTACGCCCTTCATCAGCTGGATAGAGATGCTTAGACGGCGGCTTTAGTTTTACTGTTATATTACTTTATAAGGTCTTGTGAGAATAATTAATAAAGTGGCCATATGCATCGCCCAGATGCAAAGGCCGGGGGTCATCCTCCTTTTCTAAAAAAGAAGAAGAGATAACCATATTGTATAACACATTCTTGGTCTTCTCTGGCTGTTGTGCAATGCATAAAGCTTGCTGGATCTGTATTTGTACTGCTAGTCGTCTGTTCATGAAACAAGCTGCACAAATTCTAAGAGTAAGGGCGTCTCCAATGTTGCTTAATTATCACCAAGCTACCAGTACTGGTGTCGCCCTTGTTGCCGAGTTAATCAACCCGGCAACGTCTTTGCCTAGTTAAACTCGGCGAATTGGACTTGCCTGGACATGGCCGGCAATCATTAAGTTCGCCAAGTTCTTTCTCTATCAGGAACTTGGCGAATATTTAAATAATCTTTGTCGAGTTTTGACTGTCCGAGTCGGCAGAGCAAAATCTCTTTGCACAAGCAAAAAGCGGTAGGAAAGATGTGGAGAGGGCACTCGGAGTGCTTCAAACTCGTTGGGGTATTGATTGTGTAGCTGCAATGATGTGGGAAGTGAAGACACTTTGACAGCTCATGACATGTTGTGTAATCTTACACAATATGATTGTTGAGGATGAGGGCAAAGGGGCAGCCTGCCCCCATGATTTTGAGAAGCTCGAAGTTCAGGTTCGCCTCTCGGAACAGGAGCCAGAGCATATTGCCAACTTTCTTTAGATGCATCGACAACTTGGAGATCAACATGCGCACATGCAACTTCTAATGATCGTGTGGAGCAATCCACGCTGAAAATCACCGAACTATGTTGTTGTTTATGTTTCAGTTATGCACTATGAACAAATTTTATGTTTAGACTATGTTTACATATGTGTTTTTATGTACCGCTAATTTGTATTTGTGTACACTACTCATTGTTTACGTGTGATGATCGACGTGCATGTGTTTACATGGATTTGATATTTCGAAAGTAGGATTTGTTATTACAAATGAGGACATTTGAGGGCTGGACCGGTGTTGTCTGTTGTCGCATCCTGACGCGTCCACTGACGTATAGTGGTCTGGATTTGCCCAATCCATTTCTAGATGCTCTTATCGGGGCAGAATAAAAAGAAGTAGCTAAAAAATGTGAATGGGAAGACTCATACTACTAACTAGATGATACCTTGTTTGTCCCTACGGAAATCGATCGAAACATATTTCAGTTATATTTGGTTCTATGGAGCATGGGTATTCTAATTAATACCCCATTCATTTCATAATGTAGTGCCTATAAATTTTTCTAAAAGTCAAATTTTGTGAATTTTGACCAAGTTTATTGAGAAAACTATTTATATCTACAATAGCAAAAATACAAAATATGAAACTACATCTTGTGATAGATCTAACAATATGTGTTTGACATTCTAGATGTAAATGTTTTTCTCCAGAAACTTGGTCAAAATTTGTGATTTTTGACTTTGTAAAAAATCTATATGCGGTACACTATGGAACGGAGGGAGTAATTTGTTTTTTGTTATATGATACTCCCTCCGTCTCATAATGTAAGACATTTTTTGGCACACATTATGGGACGGATGGAGTACATATGATTCCCTATTTTCACTATTGAGATGACCCTTCTTGATGCATTTTTGCATCTTGAGGTGGAACTTTTGTCATGTATGTTTGTATGTTGATGTGACATATTTTTCAGTTTAAGAGAAATTAGTTTAATGTGATCAACTACTTAGTTGTATATGATATGAATAGGGAAATAATGTAAGAGTAAAAAAATATACACAGGCACACAAAAAATGATGGTGATGCCAAGGAAAGAAAAATTGATGAGAACAAGTGCGCAAGATGTGCCGGGTCGAAGAGTCAAATAATACGGAATGAAACAAAAAAAATATTAAAATTTTGATGTCAAAGTTTTACGAGAAGTGTCGGGGGAAAGCAAAGTGGATTTGGGGTGGGAAGGGTCTCAATGTCGACAGAGGCAGCATGAGGAAGGAAACCCTAGTGGGCAGGGAAAAATTACTATAAGTTACTCCCTCCGTTCGGGTTTATTGGGCCTGCTAGCCACGGCACGAGGACCAAGGAAGTAACCATCCGTGACTTACGAAAGTAGCAGCAGCCAATTAGATTAATCTGCAATTATTCCAAAGCCTCACAGCAGCTAATTGCCCAGCTTTACTTTCGCATGCAACCAACCACAGCGCGAGGCAGTTATTGCTCACAGCTGGTACTTTGCTGTTTTCCCGCATGCAGCGATGAAGCCGAAACGGCAGCCCAATCGTGTGCGTGCTCGGCGGAGCTGATCGAGGAAAGTAAACACGCATATTTAGCGGGGACTTACAAAAACAGATCAGAGCAAACTTGCTAAGAGGCCCAATAAATCCGGACGGAGGGAGTACCACTCTCGCGGGCTCTCTCTCTCTGTTTCTTGGCTCGCAGACACACCACGTGGGTCCACAGAGAATCCACGTACTTGGCTCGTTCTACGCATGGGGAACGCGTTGACCCGCTTGCACACACGCGAGTGCTTCGGCAAATCTGTCGCAGACAGGCTGGTCCCGCGCGGTCCTGGACCCACGCGTCACTGGGACGGCTTCATCTGTGCCTTGCGGCGCGCATGTCGGCATGTGGCGGAGTGAGCACGTGGGCCGACCTGATGGGCCGGCCGACTAATTACCACAACTCTAATTACAGCCACACATACAGAATCCACGGCCCACTTGCCTAACGAACAACACAAATTTGGCTCAATCTTCGCGGACGGCGAAATCACTAGTTGAGGAGTACTCGTTACAAAGATCACTTCACTCTTCCCAGGTTACGACAAGTGACGCGCTGCATGTGTGCTACTTGTCGCAATCTGGAGTTTTTTTCTTTTTTCGTAGATCGTTTATTCAAAACGTTTTATCCCTTAAACTGCGTCAAAATTTCAAACCATTTTTACTGTTGGATTCCTCGTGTCGACTTCTTCAAAACTAGATCCCATATTGATAGGTTTTGATGAAAAGAATTCACAAAAAAAAATGAACCGGGAACATAGGTTTTTCCCTTTTCGAAAGAGGCACGCCCGTGCCTCTCACGAAATCACAACTTGCTTCCCGCGAAGCAAAATCGTGACTCGTGGAAGGAAGAAAAAAGAAAACATGTTTTTTTTTTGTTTCCGAGGAGTCACGGCCGTGACTTTCGCGAAAGCACAACCGTGCCTCTCGTGGAAGCAAAATTGTGACTCTAGCAAAAAAAATTAAAAAGCTAAGGAAGACCGGTGGAAAATCAAAACGTCGAAAAATCCGGGAAAACCCGTTTAAAAAGCCGAAAACGCATGCGAAAATATTAAAAAAATAAAATCAGAAGGAAGCGCCCAAAACTCGACACGTGACGAACGGCTGAGAGCACGTCAAGTGGCGCTGATCGTTGCG